CCGTTACTTAAATGAGGATAATACGGATCAACGCAAAGGGTGTTTGCATCCAATTCAAAGAAAATAAGTGCAATATTTCTGAAGTGTGCGTATGTGTACGGGTCGGTTGAGTTGAAGGAGACTGATTGATACATGTATTGCGAGTTTCTGATTTGGAGGAGGTAAATCGTGGTACAAAAAAAAACAATTGAAACAAGATAGAAAGAATTCGGTTTGAAAATCTCTGGTAGTGGTTTCCGATTGATCGAACTGGACGAACGGAGTGGGGAGGTGATAATGAACGAAGCTATCTAAGCGGGATGAGAGAGTACAAGTGAGGTAAAAAAAATTTTACCAGTCTACCCTGGTTCTCGATAACCTTATGGATAAACGAGTCCTGAACAACTATTCGTCCTTCGGTTTTAGCTCACAGGAACGCGGACGGAATACCAGAGAAAAATGCCAGACGGTACGGAGCAGAGTGAAACGTGACTGCTGCGATCGAAGGTATTGTGTGCTGTGTGTATGTATATATCACAGATTGTTTGTTGAACGGGGGTTGGGGATGTTTGAGGGTCGTTTCTCATCCGTGAAAAGAGTCTCCGAGTCCGTGTCCGCTTCCGCGCACACAGAAGATCGTGAGGAGGACTCCAAATCACCGGGACTGGCTGGCGGAGTTATGTCCAGTTCCACAGCTGAGGTCAGATTGTTGTCCGTGAATCGCCTCGGGAAATTGGCCTAATACGTAGGCAAAAAACAGATAAGGATGAGAAATGCGTCTTAAACTAATCGAACTCGTGTTATTCAACGTTTTCATCATCGGGCTAAGTTTTACGTCTATGTGCGCCGTAAGTCCCAGTTTCAGCATCCTGATTGGCCGATTTGTCGCTATATCAGTATGATTGTAAACAAGCACACAAACAAACTTGCTCGCTCTATTCTTTGGTAAACTAAACACCCACTTATCACCCTCGCCAGCATTCAAGGACTAAACCACAACATTGATTATGCACTCCGATTTCTCCTGAATTTTACTCCAGGTTCTATTTTTCTACCGGAAGCTGGTAGTTAGGCTCCTACACACGAGTCAGTTGCCGCCTCCAGAATCCCAAACTTTTCAGTCGTGAATTTCAGGTGATGTGACTAGTAATTGTGTGTTCTAATCGTTCCCCCATAGTGGCGAGTCCTCCATCTTTGACAGTTTGTCCTCGAACACTGAACACTTGTTTGCTACGGACCCCAACTACCATCGGGAGATTACAGTGTTCATAATCAGGAATGGATGACACAGTTCTCTGACTCCTCGTTCTTGGGAGAGGGGGGTTGACGGTGAGCTGGATATTTCACCTTTGTCAAAAACCTGAACCAACTAGTTGGCATCGGCAAACGTGTCCCTGATTGATCGACTGACCGTGCCCAAACACTCGATCTTATTCTCACTTCTTTACCCTCCTTCTTTCAAGTCAAGAATTTGCTTTATTACATCATCTGGTGCAAATTCGGCTGCCAAATACCTCAGAGAAATGAAGACATGGATAAATACAGCAAGTTTGCGGAATTAACTAAAAGCTATGAACGATTTATACAAAATATGATCGAGGGACATAAAAAAACGAACAATGGAAGAGTAATAAACTTTTGCGCATGCTTGAAAGTGTTTGTACCTGGAGAGAGTTGAAGAGATTAAAATATATTTAGATAATGCGGAGTTACGTGAGTGACAAGAGTCAGACAGTATTTTGTGATCCAATTTATCACAGGCTTTGGTGTTCAGGGAGACTACGTGATGGATTAAATGAGTTTTTGGTACACCACGACACATGGATACCACATCTTTTTGTAATAAACTAGGAAAAACCAGTAAGGTAAGATACAGACAGGAACAAACGGTTTGATCAGATGAGAGAAAATGGATAATCGGCTTAGGTGTAGAGCGAAAAAAGCAAAGGCCTTCTGACTTTAGCAAATACTTTGTTAATGACGAAGACAAAGAAAGAATGATTAAGAATAATAATAATAATAATAATAATAATAATAATAATATTTCAGAGACGTCCTCCGACTGAGGGTGTATTCTTTATGAATAGCAACTGGCACCTCTCAAGAGATGAAGAATATATTTTACCCCTACGGCGAGAAAATGAAACATCACATTCAGGTGGTTTGACGGAAAAGTTTTGTGCAGAAAGCCACTCGCTAATCTGTGAGATATCGAATTCGATAACGGGGAGAACTGAGTTGTTGGGATAGAGTAAGTCGAAGAAAACGCCATCGGTGTATTTTATTAGCACGGATTCTTCGCTCACAGGGACGGAGGCTAACTAAGTGGAAAAGAACAAAGGAGACAAATGGTTCCTGAAATAAGCCTTGATTCGGAAGCTAAAATTGAGTAGACTGCTGCCATAGAATGTAGACTACTTTCGAAGTGAGAAGTAGTCATTTGTCCGGGCAATAATAGGCGGAGGGACTCAATGATTTTCCGGAATAGACAGAAGCTGAACTCTATCAACACTACGAAATGTGTCACTACAGTCTAAAAAGCACATTATTACAGCTTTGCGTTTGTTATCGAACAACAGCAGGATAAAACTACAGAAGCTAGAGCATTCAGGGTAGATATTTTACAACAGTCAGTGACTTGATTGCAATCAGCTATGTTCAACTTTTGGAGCAACTTGGGCAAAACTAGTCCCTCGAGGTGGTAGAAGTACAAGCCATGGGATGAAATTGAGTTGAAGCTTTCTTAGGAATTGGTGTACTGCAACAATCCAGTATTGAACATTGGTCAATTTAGCGGTCGAAGTCTTTGAGCAGCATTTTTGACAGAACACTGGGGCATCTCTTCAACACAATTAGATGTACTCCATCTAGATCTTCGGTTTTTGAAGGTTTAACTTCTGTAGCTCTTCACATATTTCTGTCGGATCGTTCACTCACGGAATAGTGTAAGGAACTGCGGAGGGGGGGGGGGGNTCAAGCCTTGGAGTAGACCTGGGGTTAGCTCGTCTAATGAATCCACGGTTTATATCTTCTATAACCACAAACGGAGAACACCCTCTGATAGAAGAACCATAAAACCTTTTAAGCATTCTCTAGGTTTTACGTGAGTCCTTATTTCAAATAATCTGTCGAGCATAAACGAAATTTACACGGTAAATTTCAATTTTATTCAACAGAGTCCTCATCAAATGATAGTTGTTAGATTTAAACGTGTGTTCCTTTTTCGACGCACAAGGAGAGAAGAAAAACGATCACATTGGATGAAGTGTTTCCCAAGGATAGTAGACATTAAAACAAAAGTTGAGATAATCAGTTAAGTGGAGACAGAAAATAGATATATCAGGGTCAGAAAAGACGGCAGTCTATCAAACCAACCATGTCTCTGAGTTTCATAATATTTTCGGGGCAAAGTTTTCGCCTTCGAAGCTTGTGGCCACGGCTACAGGTAAAACGTTTGTGGGTAACTAGGCTGAAAACTCAGTCGGAAACCTTCATAATGTGGCCTAAGGATTCAATAGGAAGAGAACGACAAGAAACTGAAAACATGGCAGGGTTGTTTACAACAAATTGATTAAGGGTAGTGCTAGTTCTTGTAGAAGGGTTTACTAAATTTTTCACACTTGATACAGTCAAAAAACCGATGTCATAGAGATTAAAATCTGAACACGTATCTCTAGTTTCACTTCACTTGGCTCACCGGATAGTTGTGTTGTACCTTGGTTCATCAAGTTTGGATGCAGTAGAAGTAGGATCGGAACGTTGAAAGCAAAGTCAAAGTGCAAATAGAGAATTCATGTAGATTGAGGACCCTGAGCACGTGCACGAGCAGTCATATCACACAGTGTCTCTTAAGTCGCGACGGTCAAAAGATCACATGGCGTAGAGCTTTGAAGGAGTTAATGCCAGCCTTGACTTTGCTTGGCGCAGCTCGCTTTCCAGCGTGGGGCCCAAGGGATTGTCGTTGGTAAAAGACGCTAAGAGATATGACCCAGAATAGAAGTCAGTGACGCGAATGTCGTAGGTTCTACCTGATGAGATCCCGTGCCCAGTATAAAAGCGATAAAATACCAAAGATTTTTCATTTAATTTTCGTCTTAGTTCCTTTTATTGAGCATACAAAGATACCATTTTTCAGGAAGGGGGAAGCGACCAATCAAAGGGCTGACGTACAACACATAATGAGGTGGTGGTGGTAGGATTCGAACACCCGTCCTCCGAGGTGATAATTGGTGATGTTATATATATATATATATATATATATATATATAACATCACCAA